GTTCCTAGGGAATATTAGCAATTTAAGAAGAAAGAAAAGAATGCACTTGAATTCCTATCCACTGAACACAATATAGAATTATGCATTCTATTTACTCAGTATGATTTTCTTTGTCTAAAATACTGCTTAGAATGCATTATACAGGATTCCTTTGAAAACTAACACCAGAAAGCACAACCAAAGCACAACCATTTTAGCAGAGTCCATACTATCAATCTGAATCTAAATTGAGAAAAATATATTAAAAGAACTACAAAACAAAAAATCTGACATCATCCTTGTTATTGGGAAATTAAGAAATAATACATCATTTAAAATATATAGAGGTAAATTCTTTATAATTTATATGAAAAAAATGAGTTTGAATAATCCGATTTTAAGATTGCACTTAAGATCCAATCTTAAGATTGGGGGATTTTATCAGGACTGGCTAGAAAGTAAGTGCCATAATGGCACTTAAAAGAACTTTGAAATCATAAAATCATAGAATCATTTAGGTTGGAAAAGACCCTCACTATCATGAAATCCAACCATCAATGTGATCCACTGGATCCCATCACTAAAGTATGTCCCTTCATACCACATCCACACATCTCCAGGTATGGTAGGGAACAATTAAAATATTCTTTTAGGCTTGTAATAAATAAATGAGGGCTGCTCATCTGCCTTTGGGAAATTGAGATAAAAATCACTTATGTATCTGGCTGAGAGTAAAATTGATTGTTTCAGGAGGACATTTCCTAGTTTATAGAAACAAGAGTACAACAGAGTTAGTTTCTATAAGCCAGTGATTAAAGACTGAATTAATATTGGTTAGTTGAGTGCCAACTGCCTGGGAAGTGGAAAGCCATATCCAGCTCTTTGTTTTAAATAAAAAAATAATAAAAAAAAAAATAAGGGGAGGGGGGGGAAGAGAGGTTTTAAGGGTTCTTCACTTTTCTTTTTTTTTTTTTTTTTTTTTTTTTTTTTTTTTTTTAGGGGTGGAAGGGGGAAGTGGAAGGGTCATAAGCATATTGAGTCTATTAAGAAAAAATAAAAAAGGGTTGTGTCCTTGTATGGCGGTTTTACTCTGCTGGCAGCTGAGCTCAACAACTATTCTTTCACACACACACACACCATTCTCAAAGGGAAAGGGAGAGAAAATACGATGAAAAGGACTCAGGGGTTGAGATAAGGACAGGGAGATCACTCAACAATTATTGTAATGAGTAAAACAGACTTGACATAGGGAGATTAATGAGATTTATTACCTATTACTAACAAGGTAGAGCAGTAAGAAACAAACAAACAACAACAACAACAAAGTAAAAACACCTTCCCCCCATCTGCCATCCATCTTCTACGCCCTCCACCTCAGGGGAACAGGGGAACAGGGAATGGGGGCTGCGGTCAGTTCCTGACGCTTCATCTCCGCTGCTCCTTCACGGTCACTCTATTCCCCTGCTCCACATGGGGTTTCTCCCATGGGATGCCATCCTTCCTGAACTGATGCTGTGTGGGTTTCCAACAGGCAGCAGCTCTTCAAGAACTGCTCCAACATGGCTCTGTACCATGGCGTCCATCCCTCAAGTGCAAACTTCTCCAGCACGGGTCCCCCACGGGCAGCAGCTCCCCCCAGACTCCCTACTTCTGCGTGGGCTCCTCTCCATGGGCTGCAGCTCCAGCCTGGGGCCTGCTCCTGGGGGGGCTCTCCATGGGCCGCAGCCTCCTCCAGGCCACATCCACCTGCTCCACCGGGGGCTCCTCCATGGGCTGCAGCGTGGAGATCTGCTCCATGGGCTGCAGGGGGACAGCCTGCTCCACCAGGGGCCTCTCCACAGGCCACAGGGGGACTTTCAAAGCACAGAACTGCTTTGTGCCTGGAGCACCTGTTGTCCTCCTTCTGCATTGACTTTCCTGTCTGCAGGGCTGGTTCTCACTCCTCTCTCTCTGCTGTTGTGCATTAGTTTATTTCCCTTTCTTAAATATGCATTTCCAGAGATGCAAACAATACCACTTATTGGCTTGGCTTTGGGCAGCTGTGGTTCCTTTTTGGATTCAGCAGTCCCTTACATGTCATGGGGCAGCTTCTGGACTCTTCACACAGAGGCCACCCCTTCAGCTACCCACTACTAAAACCTTGCCGCATAAACCCAATAAAACTTCAAAAAGTGAGATTTTTTCAGAAAAGTCTCTGCCTCATGGCTTTAATTCCTGTGAGAAACACTCCGTAGCCAATGACTTAGGCTCAAGCGAGAATCTCAGCGAAGTAGTAATTTATTCACGATTGCAATAGCGGGCACCCCACAAGCAAGAGAGCGCGCCTACTAGTTCCAAAACACAGTTTATATACTTTTTGATGACAGGACCCTCCCCTGTTTCCCCACTGAGTGGGTAATCCAGGTTCACAATCCATCTGATTCTTCAGAAACAATGCATGGCCTTCAGTTGCTGGCCTGTTAAATTTCAAATTTCTTTTGACAGTTTTACTGCTTGAAGTGGTAATGTTTCTTCATTTATCTGACTTGACACCGTGATTTTCACCTAATTGTCCTAAGGAGTCTGGTGGTCTGCATTTTGCAAGGTTGTCTGTTAAGCTTTCTTAGCACTGTAAGCATATCTCAATACCACATTCCTTCCCTCTAAACAATGTAACTCTGCAAAAACAACAGTTCTATTCCCACATTCCTCACCACAGAATCTGCAAGTAGAAACCCTGGACTCAGCTGAGCCTGCTGAAAGTACTCTGTTACTATGCCTGTCCTTAAATATTTAGCAGCAGCATATGAAGCAGAAAATTATCAGCAATCAATACATTTTTATATTTGTTGGCAGAATGTAACAACCATGTGGTCTTAGAAAATAATATAGCCCACATATTATTCAGTTATTTCAGAGAAGAACTAGACATCTGAAATTTGATCTTTAAAAATCACCTGAAGGTTAGGAGCAGTTTTTGCAATGTCCACTCTCTCCATAAGGGAATACATATATATAAGCTGTACATGTGAACATTTTAGAGAAAGCAAAAATAGGCTGACAACTGAGGGAAGATCTTAAAAAGGGGATGATTTTATCTGTTAACCAAAATGAAAAGAATTAACAATTTTAACAAAAGAGAAGTCTGTTAAAAATTACATTTGACCACATAATAAAATAGTTTACATGTTATATATGAAATGAGAATGCACAAACTCTTCCTTTTCACAATGAAGGAGTAGAAACCAAGAATTTTAGGTATAACAGTTTTACCTACATTAATAATCTTTCAATGTCTGAAGAATTTGGATCTAGACTAATAATGATTACTGTTAAGTTTTCAATTATACTAACAAGAATTTTTAGCTTTACACATCTATATAATACATATATATATTCTTGGCTTACATGTCTGTGTACATATATCTGCCTATACATATGCTATGTTTTCTTTTTGCCCATAAACAAGATTTCGACTGTAATAAAATAAACAAGTTCATTTGCAATTAGATACTGCTGAAGTACAATTAAAAATGCATACCAGCTGGAGACATCAGTTGCTTTGATTTTCATTAGTGTCTGGTAGAAAAGAACTTTCTTATTTGCCTTAGCTTTATAATCTGCACAGTCCACACGCAGTAGTCTGTTTACAGCCAAGTAGTTATGTGGTGCATAGTGAAAAACATTTTCCTTTAATTATTTTTCTTGTAACAATGAAGAGTTTTAAGCACGGACTTGGACCTGCTCAATACTTTCTATGCAAAAATTTAACAAACAAGTCACAAGATGGGTACAGGCTGCCAAGAGAGTGTCAAACTAACAATGGCAATGTTGGTTAGTAAGACAGAAAATGATTATAGGTATATTTAGAAGAGTTAGGAAACATTTGATGTATTCTGGATAGGTGCATAACGACATAATAATTTTTCACTCTTAGGGAAAAGAATGTTTTACGATCCTAAATACAAGCAGCTTGAGAGCCGAAATGCTTCTCTGTGCAAGGTTATGCAGTCAAAACTGTGTAAGTGAGGTTACAGAAAAAGAGAGGTACCATTTAAAAACAGTTTCAGTAAAGAGAGGTCCAAGTTGAAGATGATGCTTTGATTATTGACTGGATTATTAGACAGTTTGGTGCTTTTTTCCACAGTGATGGAGAAAGAAGAGAAGCTTCAGAACACAGAAATTATTTCTAAACATTACATTCTAAACATGTAGTTTTGGCTATTGAAGAATAGCTTTGGCTACATTTACACTTCTCCGATTCAAGGACTCATCACAGAGTTCCACATTCTGTTCTGTTTTACTGTGAAGGGAGTAGGGCATCTTGTATACTGTATTTTAAATATATTTTGATGTATTCAACGATATGGTACTGAGTCCTTATTTTGTTTGCAACATTCAAGAAGCATCAGATATTGTTTGTTAATTGTTTGTCAAGAAGAATCAGATATTGATTTCAAGAAATAGCTGAAAACAATAATAATTATATTTCAATAAATAACTGAAAACTGTAAATGCTTTCACCTTTGGTTTATTTATGTCATAAAAAGGAGTATGAACATAAAGTATTAGAGAGCAAATACTCTTACAATTTCCCTAATAAGTAAATCCCAAAGTATAGGTAACCCCATTAAACTTTTAGTATCCCATAATCTGATCATTTATAAAAGAATAGCTCTTATACATTTTTATACAATCATTGAATGGTTTGGGTTGGAAGAGACCTTAACGATCATCTAGTTCTGACCCCCCTGCCATGGGTACCAGACTGGATTACCCAAAGCCCAAACCAACCTAGCCTTGAACACTTCCAGGGATGGGACAGCCACAGCTTCTCTGGTCAACCTGTTCCAGTGCCTCACCACCCCAGAGTGAAGAATTACTTCATAATGTTGAATCTAAACCTCTTTTACATCCTCCTTAAAGTCATTACTTCTTGTCCTATCACAACACGCCTGAGTAAGAGTCCCTCCCCACCTTTCCTGTTGGGTCCCTTTAAGTACAGGAAGGCTACTCTGAGGTCCTCTAGGAGTCATCCCTTCTCCAAGCTGTAAAATCTCAACTCCTACAGCCTTTTTTCATGAGAGCTATATTACAACTCTCTCATCGTTCTTGAGGCCCTCCTCTGGACTCTCTCTAATACGTCCACATCTTTCTTATGCTGGGGGCTCCAGAGCTGAATGTAGTTCTCCAGGTAGGGTCTCACGAGGGCGGAGAATTATTCTATACTTTATTTCAAAGATGGAAAAAAACACTCGAGTTTATTTATCTTGCTTAATATATCTGTAAACTTCAAAGTAAAGGATTAAGTTAGGCTCTGTATTATGTTAAAATTAATTTATATGAAATATACCTAGAAATGAATGTTTCATTCATTCAAAAAAAGTCAGTTATGACAACATAAATTATTGCTTGTGTCAGATACCCTATCTATTCATTCTGCAGTCTAACACTTTAACGGGAAGTTCACTTACTCATTCATGTTTCTATCTAACATTGAAGTCCATCATAGGAACCTTAAGAGGTTACTTCTTTCCTTTTAAAGATGTTAAATGTGACCTACAACTATAGTTACATGAGATCACAGATATAAAACCTTTAACAAGCCAGAGCAAAGTTTGAAAAGGAAGCTTTTTCATGAGAGGAGGGAAAAAAAAAAAAAAAAAGAGGAAAAAAATTAGCATGAATACTGTCCATTTGGAAAGAGGTACAAAACTCATGTATTTGATTTCTTTTCTAATGGTTTATTTCCGACAAGCACATACAACTCTGAAACTGATCCACTCACTCAGATACAAAATGAAAAATCCTATAAACCAGTTCTACACATTTGTATAGGCTAGAAAAGAACAAAGAAGTAGTATAACAAAGGTTAGAAAAAGTCTGTTGGGGAAAATTCTTACAAGGATTTCCAGCTTGCCCTTTACAAGAATATTGCATACCATTTTTTCCGCTATTTTATATTCCTGGGAATGTATATGCATGTACACATACAATAGTAAAGAATACAGCTTTGCTTATTTACACCAATAATTTTTTTTTTCTCCTTGTTGTAATTATGATTAATCTAGGAAGAATTCTATTTACATTGGAAAGAAAATTCAAGGAATAATGAAAATGCTGTGTTACTTTTATACAAGCCTTAAAGATAATCTAGCAAATCTTCTCCAATCTTCTCCTAATCTATATCACAACCATTCCCAAACAGCAGATATGAAGGATGAAAATAAACAGAACATAAAGGACGGGAGAGTTGAAAGAATAAAAGTCAGGACCAGAAAGAGAATGAGGAAAATCCAGATAAGTCCGTTCCGTAAGTAGAATTTCTTTTAAATGCTTTTGTGTTCTGTTACATTCAAATAATTCAAATCATTCAAGAGGGAGTTAAAAGGATGATTTTGTACAGGGAGCCTTACAAAACTAAAAGAACTTAATACTTGAGAATTTCACTGTAGTAAATAAGGATTAAACCTGAAAGACTTAGAGATGGAAAGCAGAAAATACAGAAGAATACAGAGTTTTTGAAAGTCAATAAAAGAACAGATATACCAATAATTTGGTGGGTAAAATAAGAACTAAACATAGAGAAAAAAAGATTACAAATCCAGCCATGTGCCTGCAGCTACATCAAGAATTAATACAATACTCCTTCAGTGAAAGAATTAACTACAGTTCTTAGAATAAATGAATTTGAAACATGCTCTAAAGAACCTCATGAACCTGTGGAAGGCTTAGTAGGAATGCAGGGAGAACACTTTTTAATGAACAATTTCTGTGGCCTTAGAACTACATGATTGAGACCTGATACTCTACTATTATTCAGGGAAAACTAGTTATATTTCACTTTTTCTCTTTGAAACCTTTACCTGTGAGGCAACCAGTAATGAGAAATCTTAACAATAAAACTGTTTTATATCACTGAGGGGGAGGTGAGCTAGATCAGAAACCTAAAGACTCAGACTCTTAGTAAAGCTTTCAAGTCAAAAACAAGCAGCATGCTAGTACTAAGACTCAACAAATTTACTATTACAAGTTCCTTGTGATACAAAGTGGGCAATCCAACTAGGGTAAGCACGTCTAGAAGTCAAGAGGAATAAGAGCAGAAAACACTGGCTATTGTTAGTGACTAGTGTCAAGTAGAAAAGAAGTTTTTGATATATATTTTTTTCCCTTATGGAATTCAATACTATTCAATGCAACTTAGATAAGCACTACCAGCTGGAAGCTAATTACATTCAGCTGAACCTAATTATTCAAAACCCCTTAATTAGAGGGGAAGCTATTGCTGTTAAGGAGACATCAGTGTATTGGGATGAAAAGAAGGTAAAATATTTTAAAGCTATATATGTGTTACCCTGTATTTGTTATATATTGTTTTTGTTATACATTGTTTCTATTCCTTCTGCTTCTGAAAGTACTGCTAAAACTATTCTATGTTCATTATTTCTCTACAGGGGGAGAAAAATAAAATAATTACAGAAATCATAGGATTTCCTTACGTATTCAGATTTAGCCACAACTGAACTAGTAATTTTAAATTGGGATGTTAAGAGCAGCCTCCTCATCTACTGGTTCTGGTAATCCCTCTTGGAATCCCATTGGCACTATGCCTGAGGGCCAGGAGTCTCTGCCCAGGCTGAGGGATGCAGCTGCCACAACCCCCTTTTCCCCTGCAATATTTGCATGAGGAACTGGGAGTGAAAGAGTGAGGTTAAGCCTGAAAAAAAAATAAGGGTAGGAGAAAGCATTGTTTTAATTTGCCTTCGTTTCTCACTAGGCAAGCCTTTTTTTAATTGGCAGTAAACTAATTTCCCCCAAGTGGAGTCTTTGTCAGCTGTGATGGTAATTGTTAATCAGTCTCCCCGTCCTTGGCTTTACCTGTGAGCTTTTTCTGGCTAATTTTCTCTCTTTGTCCTGTTGAAGAGGGGCTATGAGACAATGGCTGGGTGGATCTCTGGCAGCCAGCCAAGGCAATCCACCATAGTCACTAAGACACTCAAGAACTGCAGAAGTGTTTGTCTAATTTCTACCCACCCTCAGAGACTGTTACAGGTGAAATTATATGCTTTACTCATAATAGGGAAGCAGCAATACATGTATTGATATAATGTAATAGTCTAACAAAAATTAGTTGTAATTAAGACAACAACTTAGTCAGATTTGAGATGGCAAATTACTCTTGATTATTTACTGTATAGAGTACAAGGTAAGTCAGATGTGTCAGGAAGACCCTTCTTTTCAGTCACAAGGTTCAGAGTGGACCCTCCTTGTTTTCCAAACTCCTGAACAGAAGAGGTAATGGTGTGGCTGAATCCACTTCTAGTCCCAGACTTGGTCAGTGGTTCATAGCTAAGGGTTATATGTACACAGTCAAAGATATAATTTTAGTGAGTCTCTCAAATTTTAGCAAGCTATTAATTACTTTTTAAGGATGTATTGCATCAAGGTATCTCTCATAAGGAGTAAGGAATTTCTGCAGCAGTTTTGACCTTAAGAGGTGTCCCGACACAAGAGGAAATCCTGCTGTGCAACCAGCTGCTGTGCAGAAGAGCTCACAGGGCTCTTAGCCCATTGGCTCACTATTGGGTAAGATAATGGACTAATAGTCATTTGTTGTTGTTGTTTTTGTGTGTCTGTGCTCCATTGGCCATCAGCTGCTGAACAAGATGTCTGTCAGTTTCTCCAGCACCCAGCTTGAGCCAATACTGTCGTCGCTATTTGGCTGAGCAAGGCCTTGCCTGCAACGGCCAGTGTTTGAACAAGGCAAAGGCCAGACCAAAGGTGAGAAGTGTGTTTGTAGGGGGAAATACCTTCACAGAGGTTTTCAAGATCAAACAGGTTAAAATTCTATGCAACCTTCTCTGACTTCGTAGTTGAGATTTAAACAGCAGGTTTTACCTGGGATCTTCTTTCAGTCCCTCCCAACTAGAATTGTTCCCTAACTCTATGATAATTCATATGTTTTCTGTTCAAAGCAAGATTATAGTCAGGAGACTTTAATAACAAGAGCCAGACTCAACCAAATTTTAACAAATACTCTGAAATCATCCAGTCACCTGTTCTGGAAAAATTAGAAATATCTCAAAAATTTGACTGGAGATACAATGTTATAAAGGAATGTTTAAATCTTAGAATTGAGTTTCAATCAGAGTTAGAGATCATCTGCTTAATATTCTAAAAATGTGTCAAAAATAGATTTGTAACAGAAAAATATGACTGGAGTGGCTCATCGTGTCAGCTTGCCAATATGATGATTATAATAAGTATTACCTAGAAGGAAGAATGTAAAGACCCAAATGTATGACAAGCCACAGAACATCTGCATACCCTCTAACAAATATAAGGCTTTTAATGTCATTGGTGGTCTGCTTAGGTGTTTGCAGAGACTGTCAGTTTCCAAAGCCCGTTTGTGAAAGATAGCTCTAATAAATGATGAAGCACAGCAAGAGTCCTCAGATATTTGCTACTCTTAGCAGTGAGGAAAATGCTTCTTGATCTTAGGTCGGAGGATTTTAAGGAGTTAATTCTCTACACTGTGCAGTTGCACATTATTTTTGAAGTCACATAAAACGGTCTTCAATGACCCTTCCCAGTTAATATGTAAAGCTCTAGTATATCATGTTCTGAGTCCTCTTTACCATTGTTTGTGCATTGTGCATTGTTTGTACTGTGTGTCAATCCTTACCATATTAGTGTTCCCATATTCTTCTGATGCCAAAAAATAGAGGGTTATGTTTTTAGAATCATTTTATATAAAAACTTACTCTCTAAGAACCTGATTTCAGTACAGAGCTGTGTTCAAAATAATATCAGGAGATCCAACAAATGTGATCTTATGCCTGATTTTATTTAGGCCTCATAATTATTTGTCATGTCTGGAAACTGTAGCTTACTTGAATTTGTAATGCCAATTTCACAGTTCAGTAAAAAAGGATATGCAAATCCTGGTAATAAAAGGAGCAGTAGAAAATTGCCATGTCCTCCTAGCCTGTTAAAATCTTCTGGAATAAAAGGGGAGGTGTAATTCAATACAAACTGTGCAAAGAACAAAGGTTTTATCTTAAATTGGTCTGAAAAAAAAAAAAAGTAATGATTAATGACAACAGTAATCTATGAGACCTTTATTATCAGAAATTCATAAAATAAGAAAAGGTAATTTAATTACTAATTGTCATATTTTTTGATTGAAATTATTTTTCTGAAGACTATTAATTAAAACTAAAAGTAAACTTTCATTGAGACTTCTTTGAATTGCCAAGAGCAACTGCAAGGAGCTGAATCCTTCAGCAGCCAGGTGTATCTGGACCACATATGCACTCTATCAAGCATACCCTTTTTACAGATCTAAGTTAACTGAGGAACAACTTTACTTGAGGAGCAGAGCCAGGCCTAGAAAACAAAACAAAAAACAAAACAAAACAACAAACAAACAAAACAACAACAACAAAAAAGTGTTAAAGTCAGTTAAATTCTATTTATTTATTTATTTATTATTCCAATACCATACATTCTGAATATACTCAGTAATGCCAACAACATTCAGAGGCTGAATACTTCAGGGAGGACAGTGGAGCTACTTTTAGCATTACCTTGAAGATCTGTCCTCACCACAGCAGACAAGAGTGATACATGGTTCATCACATTGTCGTCTTGGACAGATTATGAATGTCCATAGTACTTTCTTTTGTTGCAAAATTTAAAAATGAGGGAGTTAAATATGTTCAACCTAGTATAGATAGTTATGTATCTCTATATATAGTTATGTATATATATATAGAGAGAGAGAGAGATAGTTATGTCTGGTAATGTCCCATGAATGTTGGTCAAGAGTATCTAAACTGAAAAAAATCAACATTACGTGGGTGGGAGAGAGAAGGAGAAAGAGGGTACAATAAAAATAGTCTCCTCTTCAAGATTTTTTACATTTTGTGTGGTTTTATAAAATAGATCTTTCTTACCCTCCCCCCAACCTTCTTGAGATAAAAACAGTTTACCAATGTTAAGATTACTTATTTTTTCTTACATTGTTGAGAACACATAAAATAAAATGCATGGTACTTGCTAGAAGAACGTCATTCAACTGTGTTATCAATCAGTTGTTTCAGTGTGACAGTTAATAACTGTCCATAAAATTAAATTAAGTAAATATAGGCATGAAATAAGAAGATTCCTATAAATATGTAAGTTATCTCAAAACTTAAAAATATCTAAGGCACAGGATTTTTCAATATAATGAAGGATTTCTGTTAGTGCGCCTGCAGTTTAAATGAACTAGCTTTCATCAAGAGTGTCAAACATTATCTGTTACCCAGATCTGAATTATTCACTGCATCGTGTTTGCTATTCTGTGATTCTCCTCTGAGAATATATATGTCAGTCTACTCTCATAGCCAGGAACACCACTTAGTCAGCAGCATAGCTGAGTGATTGCATAGAACCACAAATTTTAATAATGGATTATACAAGTTAACTTGTTCTTAATATTAGCATAAAAATAATTCCTCTAAATCTCCAAATGCATTTCTAAAAACTTTTGAAAGGTCCATGAGAAAGCTGTCAGCATAAAAGCCAATATTTATTTATTTATTCAATTATTTTTATTGAGAAAAAGTTAAACTAGAGAGAAAATAGAAGAGATCAAGCCTATTGCTACAAGGCTCTACAATTTTTTTCATGTGGTGACTTTGTACAGAACATTTACCCCGGAGGTTTTACTGGAGCCCAGTTTTGAGCAGAAAACATCTGCATTTTCAGTTCTTAATGGTATAGTGCCAATTCACATAGAAACAACCCCTTAAACTCCTCCAGATCTTATTGCCTTCTTTAAGCTTTCCTCTTCATCATATCATTCTTGTACATGTTGATGACTTAATGAGTGTTTAAATGACCGTCATTGCATATACAAAATAAATGTTCAGCCAAATACTACCAATTGTGTCCTTCATGTTCTCAATAGTATCATTGTATCTGCTTTGCTACTGAATTAAAAAGTATCTGGAGTTTAAAAAAAAAAAAAAAAGGCCAATTGTAATAGCTACTTTGATATTAAAAAAAAAAAAAAGTGTTTAGTATTCCGCAGTTATACTATCACCTTCCCAAAACACCACATTATTTCAGTAACCTCCAGGCTGGCTAAATAAAGTTTACTCTAGGTCCTGGCTTTTAATGAATTCCCTGGACATCCTTCAAGACTTATTGAATATATTGAAATGCATGCCTTACCTACAAACGTAAATACTTTACAATAAAGTGGAATTCCTCCTCTTAAATGATAGGAAGGAAATTAATTAAGATCATTTTACAATTTTTTCAGTGCACTGCTCCATTTTTCTGCCAGCTTCACTGTGATATTAAAGATCAAAACAACGGAACTGTGCACTTGGGAATACAGATAATCTTTTTTAATGAAGGAGTCATGCCTGAGGTGAAAAAAAAAAACAAACCTCTACATTAAAACAGGAATTTCAACTCATATTTTCATAAATATTTGAGTGAAGAAAAATCTTGATATAAAGCAAAATATTTTTTCAGTGGAATATTTAAATCTTTATAATGCATAATGAAATGCAACAATAGTTTCATACCGTATACTTCATGAATATTGCCTTGAGATCTTGAAATTTGGAAATATTTATTGAAATTAATGTCTAGAACTAGGAGCTAGTGATCTTACCCTGATATTTAAGCGCTTTCCATAAAAGCTGTTTATGTCTACAATGTGCAAGAAGTCTCAGGGAAAATAGTAGATGCCATTTTTAGCTGCTAGATATGAAGCATATATATTTATAATTCTGAGTGTTTGTTTTTTTTCCTGTCTATTAATATTCCCTATGTCAGTGACCATCAAAAGGTTTGAAAACCTGCCAGAATAATGGAGGTGATCAAACTGAAATTAGATTTCTGGATATGTAGATATGAATTATTAATAATGTCAAAAACAATGATCAGTGCTGTCACATCTGGGCTCTCAATACAAATTACATTGAACCAATATGTACAATGCCTAATATCGCAGGCAGCCTTTTCATTGTCTGCAAGGAATATGTAAGGCTTTTCTCCTCATATTCGATTTTCATTTGGTAGTATCTTATGATATTAGGATCTCTTGCTACAAGTGATTAGCAATAATCCAAATCTAGCTTGTTAAAGATGTATGATATAATGTTAAATTCTATTTTGTTGCCAAATGCCCCAAACAGAATATGTTGAGCACCACTGGCTGGAAGGAATATAAACTGTGGCACACACTATTTTCTTATGATGTAACCAAGGTTACTGAGAAAGAACCTGTGCTGAGGTTACTCTTACAAAGTGAAAGTATCTGCAGCTACTTCTGCACTTCCTCCTAGCACAGCTTCTCTGAGGGATTTCTGCTAGTTACTCTCATTCTCATCTCTCTTGCATATAGATAACTTTGTGACTTCACTCAAATGGATGGCCGAACTAGACACAACCTCTCCCACTCCCCCTCCTCAGTGAGGTGGGTTGCGGGGGGTGGTGGTGGTGAGAAACTATGTTGGGAAAGAAGAAAGCCTGCAGGTTGAGATAAGGATAATTTAATTAAAGAGAAAAGAAAGAGGGGAAAAATGGAAGCAAAGAAAGAGAGAAAAACAATCATTCTCTACTTCCCATCAATGAGCCACATTCAGCCACATCTTGGGAATCAAGGCAGCAATATGCATATTGATTGTTTTGGAAGACAGACTTTTTCATAAGAAGAGTCTTTTCCTTCTCCTTTCCCAGCTTTTCTTGCTGAGTATGATACCATATGATAAGGAATATCACTTTGGCCAGTTTAGGTCAGCTGCCTTGGTGATGTCCCCTCTCCATTTCTTACTCCTTCCCCACCCCTACTGGCTGAGGGAGTAGGGGGTGGGGTTGGGGAGAGTCTTGTTGTTGCACTAGGTCTGCTCAATAACACCAAAATATTGGTGTGATATCAGTGCTGTTCTAGGTACAAGTGCAAAGCACAACACTCTATGGGCTGCTGTGGGGAAATTTAATATCCCAGCCAGACCCAGTACAAACCTGCATAGATCGGTCTCTTAGTTGTGCTATCAGACTTTGCAGGGTAGATGTTTTAGTGTAGTTTCTTATTATGTAAAAATTTGATTTACCTATGTTCATGAAAATCTACAATCTACAGTATTCAGTCAAGTACTTTGACACAAGCCTATGGAGGGAAGAAAAGTCAATAACTGCATGTCTATATGTATGAGTGTTGAGGTCTAAGATAAAAGTGAAAGGGAAAATCTACTGGTATGTTAAGTTACACAACATTTTTACTCTTTCAGAACAACACTTATTAACATAAGCAACTTCCAATCCATCAGCAAAACTTATTGACGTATTGAAGGTAGAATTTGAGAGCATGTCTCTGATGTTTCATTAAAATAGTGGGGGATTAATTTTCAAAATACTTGGTTTTTTTTTGGACTTGAGTGAAATGGAAATCCTGCATAAACAGGATTTTCCATCCATTGGAAAATCATTCCAATCTTGATTATGCTCAAAAAAATCAGATTCAAAGAGTGTATCTAAAATACGTTTACAATGAACAGGAGTATTATTAATTCATTCATCAATTTTCATATGAAAAAACTTCTGGAACTGCATCTTGGTCAGCCAAGACTTTGAACAATTTTACTGAATACAGTGAAAAATTTGGAACTTGAGATAAGCCTTTGAGTTGTTATCAAATGTTGTCGATGTCTTTCAGCTGTTTGTGTTTAAACAAAGCATGTCAACCAGTTGGTACATAGGTTGAAGATATTTGACTCACTGAAGATCCAGGTGATTGATTGGGCCTGACCTCCTGACAGATGTTTTTCTCTCATCTGCAAGAACACAAGAAAGATAAGACAACACAACATATTTGTTTTGCTGAAATTTCCTAGGAATTATACAATTAGGAAAACACTGATAGCTATGCCTCTGTCTATGAAGAGAATATGTATGAAACATGACTTCTCAAAGCTGCAGATGACTGAAATCCTCAGGAAATATACTTATTATTATTGTTAAAGTGTTATTTAGAGCTCCATGGATAGATAAGTACAAGAGAACAAAGCCCTGAGGACAGATTCTAGGCTAACATAAATTAGTATAATTCCATTGTCCTTAATATAATTAGGTCAGTTTACACCCGTCAAGGATCTGCACAGTGTTACGTTAACATTAACTGATGATGTTACTTCAACAAGTGTAATAAGAACTGTTCATACTGCTTTAGAGTTAAATTTTCTTCTTGTACACTAACATGTTTCCAGTGATTTTAGGAAATAATAATTTTTTATTCTAATTGCCAGACTTGTTTAATCCTGGAGCATTTGTTACTATAGCTGCATGTATTTTTAGTATAATATTGAAGCTGAGGGGCATAATTTAATTACATCATCGCATGCTAGGTCAGTGTCTTTTTCCTTTAGGGTAATGGTATTTTCATAACTAATTTATGCTAGCAACTGTGAAGCTGCATATATTTTGAAGATTAACTGTTTTGTAAGTAAATTTCTTAAATTCTGAGAGAAAGTAAAAAAAGCTGTTAAATTATAAATCATTAATTTGGTTTATTTCTTTGTGTCCACAGGGGTCATATAATCTCTTATCAATTGTGTTACAGATCACCATGGGAGTACTGTCTTTGGACAGTAGACTATCGCACGAGAGATTTTTCGTATTGCTATAGAAGAAGAGAAGAACAGATGGCTGTATTTTAAAAGTGGACAGACATAGAAACAATAGGTAATACCACTTTAAAAACTGAGAGGTGAGGAGGAAGCTAATAATTTTAGTTAGATTTGCAGACTTAAAGTTTCCTGCTGCACCTATTTCCTAAGTGATCCAGGGGTCACAACAGTAGTTTCAGCATGTGAACAACATTGGGGTGGCTGTGAAATTCTAAACTTATTTTATACTCTGAAGTTATCAAATGGAGTTCTAATGTTTACTGCATTTTGTGTAAATGATTGTTTATTGCCTGTGGCTTTCAATCTTTGGAATGGTATAGAGAACAATTGAAGTGTAATCTGTTTTTGAAAATGTTAGCAACTGAGTTAGGATTCAGAATATATCCTATACTCAACTGACTATACCCGTTGAGAAATAATGGGTTATAAACACTTTGTCAGTGTAAATAATAATAATAAAAAATAATCAAAAGCAATTATTGTGTTGTGCAGTTAAAAATATCATATAACCTTTCTTGAAGTTGTACTATATTTCCATACATAAAACACTGAGGAATTCAAATGTGATACACCTTACATTCCTAAGCATCTTCTCTTTCAAAACCTTTTTTTTTTTTTTCCAAACTACATGCTGTGCAATTCCTCCAGTATTTCTGTACTCTCAGAAGAATGCACAGAGAAAATACATAGATCAAAAAGGGGGCACACAGCTCTCCAGAGAGCAATTAGTGATCATTTACATAGTCTCTACAATCCAAATGTGAAATAAAAGACATGTATACCGACTGATGGTTGAATTCAGCTTTATCAAAAAGTTAGGAAAATACAATTTATCAGAAGAGAGAAGGTCAGTATGAGTAGTTCCACTTTTGAGGACATCACTTCTAATATTCTATGTTTATCCTATGTATATCTGCATTTCAGGTGTATACATGTATTTTTCAACACTTATTAATGAAAACAGAGACATTTTCACCTGTATCTGTTTTCAACCTTTCCACTTCCTTGTTGTGGTTAAGTATTTTAGGATGAAATTTACAGATATCTTTTCAAAATTCATAGCAAAAATTCAGAATGATAAGCAGATTATTCTAAGAATAGACCTTCCCCTTTTACTAGTTAGCTAATTATATTTATCTTTGTGGAACATTTCCCAGATTTCCCTTTATCAAGGAACAAGATTCCCTTCCTCCTTCCCTTCCCTTCCCTTCCCTTCCCTTCCCTTCCCTTCCCTTCCCTTCCCTTCCCTTCCCTTCCCTTCCCTTCCCTTCCCTTCCCTTCCCTTCCCCTTCCCTTCCCTGCCCTTCCCTGCCCTTCCCTGCCCTTCCCTTCCCTGCCCTTCCCTGCCCTTCCCTGCCCTTCCCTTCCCTGCCCTTCCCTGCCCTTCCCTGCCCTGCCCTTCCCTGCCCTGCCCTGCCCTGCCCTGCCCTTCCCTTCCCTTCCCTGCCCTTCCCTGCCCTGCCCTTCCCTGCCCTTCCCTTCCCTTCCCTTCCCTTCCCTGCCCTGCCCTGCCCTGCCCTGCCCTGCCCTCCCCTCCCCTCCCCTCACCCTTCCCCCTTTCCCCTTTCCCCTTCCCCCTTTCCCCTTCCCCCTTTCCTTCCCCCTTCCCTCTTTCCCCTTCCCCCTTCCCCCTTTCCTTCCCCCTTCCCTTCCCCCTTCTCCTTTCTTTGTCCTGTCTAAGTATGTTCAGCCTTCCTCAGTTCCACATGTGGATGTGGTTTAGTGTCTTATTATTCTGACACTAATTTTTCAGAATTTTTATTTCATCTTCCTCAGTCTAATCACCATCCTCCTCATCCCACTATAATTGTCCTCATAATTACATAATTCATAATTTTAAAAACTGAAACTGCCAGTTTTCATTTGGAAGAAAATTCCAATTTTACTGTAGATGTCTGGATCATTGACTATTATATAACTAGTGACTTGACTACAGATGCTCAGTGTTTACATTTCCTGAACAAGATCCAATTAAAAGCTTACCATCTGTCATAAATCTTTGTCTCCATACAGCTTTTAATGTAAGTGACATTATTATTCAAACCTTAGCCCATTTTTCATTCACCATTATCAAATGATATAGACATTCCTCTACTAAGAATTTTTCAAAACCTCCAAGAGTTTGTTTCTTTGTTTTATGGGGGGTTATTTGGCTATAGCCAGAACCTCAAAAATTCTCAGAAAAATTATTGTGGAATATAGCTCATTTACATTCAAGCAACATTGACAATCCCATTTTAGATTTGGCAGGTCTGGGGGCCAATGAGAATTTCCTAGGAAAATCATAGAATCATAGAATATCCTGAGTTGGAAGGGACCCAACTTCCCCTCTCAGCCTCCTCTTCTCCAGGCTGAACAGGCCCAGTGACCTTAGTTGCTCCTCATATGTCTTCCCCTCTAGGCCCTTCACCATCCTCGTCACCCTCCTCTGGACACTCTCCAACAGTTTAATATCCTTTTTGTACTGTGGTGCCCAGAACTACACACAGTACTCAAGGTGAGACCACATCAGCGAGAGTAGAGTGGGACAATCACCTCCCTCGACCAACTAGCAACGCCGTGCTTGATGCATCCCAGGATATGGTTGGTCCTCCTGACCGCCTGCGCACACTGCTGGCTCATATTCAACTTGCTGTCAACCACAACCCCCAGATCCCTCTCTGCAGGGCTGCTCTCCAGCGTCCTGTCGCCCAGTCTGTATGTATTGCTAGGGTTGCCCTCTCCTAGGTGCAGGACCTGGCACTTGCTCTTGTTAAACTTCATTTGCTTGATCGCCCAGCTCTCCAATCTGTCCAGATCCCTCTGCAAGGCCTTTCCACCCTCAACAGAGTCCACAACTCCTCCAAGTTTGGTGTCATTGGCAAATTTGCTCAAAACACCTTCTAGTCCTACATCCAAATCATTGATAAAGACATTGAAGAGGACTGGCCCTAAAATGGAGCCTTGAGGGACCCCACTAGTGACCATTCGCCAGCCAGATGTGGCCCCATTTACCACAACACTTTGAGCTCTGCCTGTCAGCCAATTGCTCACCCATTGTATGGACATTTTGACACAGTTTCTATGGGAAACTGTGTCAAATACCTTGCTGAAGTCCAAAAAGATCACATCAGCTGGTTTCCTTTGATCGACTAGACAGGTGATCTTGTCATAAAAGGAAATCAAATTTTTTAAGCAGGACCTACCCCTCATGAACCCACGTTTGCTGGGATCAATGACAACATTGTCCCCCAGGTGCACTTCAATAACTTCAAAAATCAACTTCTCCATAATTTTACCAGGCACTGACGTGAGGCTGACAGGCCTGTAATTGCTAGGGTCTTCTTTTTTACCCTTCTTGAAAATTGGCACAACATTTGACAGCTTCCAGTCTACTGGGACCTCTCCAGATTCCCAAGATCATTGAAAAATAATTGAGAGAGGTACTGCGATGACGTCAGCCAGCTCTGAAAGCACACTGGGATGAATCCCATCCGGACCCATAGGTATGGATTCAGGCAGAGCAGCAAATTCCGCACACGTTCAGGGTCGGTTGGGAGTTTGTCATTCCCACTGTCATGGTCCTCCAACTCAGGACACCCTGGATCCTGAAACCCATCATCAGAGTTGAAGACAGAGGCAAAGAAGGCATTAAATGTCTCTGGCATGCCTATGTCATTGTCTGTGAGGAGACCTTCCCCATCAAGTAGCAGACCTATGTTTTCTTTGGTCCTCCTTTTTCTGTTCACATATCTAAAAAAACTTTTTTGTTGTCTCCCACAGACATGGCCAGCTTCAACTCTAGTTGGGCTTGGGCTACACAAATTTTCTCCCTATAAACCTGAACTGCATCCCTGTATTCCTTCCTTGTAGTCTGACCCTCCTTCCAGCAGCCGTACACTTTCTTTTTTCACCTTAGCTCCAGTAGAAGATCCCTGGTCAGCCAGGCTGGCCTTCTGCCCCGCCTGCCTGACTTTTGATATTTTGGAATTGCCTGATCTTGTGCTTTTAGGAGGCAGTGCTTAAAGACTGACCAGCACTGATGGACACCAATACGCCAATACTGAATGGATTTCTGACAATTTCAGAAAATGTTAATAAATTAAAAATCTTTGGATTTGGAAATATGAAAAATACTTTATAAATATTTTTCATACACAAAGAATGCTTGGAGCCACAGAAGCTATTAACATATATATTTATTAAACCTGGAAAAATAAGTACACACCCCTCTTCTCCACCCACTTTCCACAAAAGTGCAATGGGACATTATTATTATTATTATTGCTGTTGTTGTTGTTGTTGTGATTATTATTATTAGTATTACTACTATTACTATCACTATCACTATTACTATTATTAATGAGAGCAATTCAATTGATTTGCATTTGAAGTTCTGGTAATTTTACATTGTTAGAAAATTAATTATGCTTATATAGTAGCTTATACTGAGGCAAGCAGCCTTTTAAAGTATATTTAGTAAAGCCTGTTGGTGTAGAAATAGACAGGTTATTTTTCAAGATTATCTATTCAGTACACCACGTCTGACTTCAGCCACTCCTCACTATTCACAGCTTCTGAAGGTACTGCATGCAGAATCTCTCTTTTATTTTCTTTTTTTTTTTATTATTTTTTAATAAAAATGAAAATAATAATTTTATAATTGTTCTCTTTGAGGTAGAATCTTGGAATGAAGTAATTTTTGCCTTTGTTTACTAAATTTGATGGCAAAGCTTTCTGTGGCTTCCTCAAACCAAAATATTATTCAAACTGACATATGCCTTATTTCAGTATTTTTCCTTGTAGCAGAAATATATAGTATTCCTCTGGTCTTGGCAATTTAATTGTCAGAAATCCATTTTCTTAGCCTGTGTAGCTGTAGTTTTATTTCCCCTAAATACATGTACATCTTTTTAGTATGCTGTTAGGATAGCCTAGTAGTATCATTCATAATATTTGTAAACATTAAGAAAGTTTAATTCTCAAGGTAATCTCCAATGTAGTGGGATTTGCATGAGGCACTAAATAACTTCTATATAGTTGTTTATATATTTTCAAGTATATGTGTATATATGTGTATAGTATATATTTTTTAGAAATTTAATATTCGATTGGAATAAATTTGCCCCTGTTTTATACACACTATCCTAAACATTAAAATATTAAAACTGACCTAATTTTTTTGAGTTGTAGGCAGAAATCTTCAATGGTCAGAAAAAAAAGTGTATACTTTTATACAAAATTTATTATTAAAAATTTTGTATGACATTTAACATAAAAATGTATTTTTATATTTCAATCTAAAGAACAAAAATCTTGAACTATGAATATTTGAATTGCCTTGTTCACTGGGTATTCAACTTTCCGATTTAA